TTTTTTTTTTTTTTTTGGAGAGATTTTCTCTATAGGGCATGTGCGCTGGCCAGACAGAGAGAGACATTAGAGACAGAAAGCGAGAAATCACCCCCCAGACGGGATGGTCATGCTACAATCCCTTCTCCTCCATTCTCCTCTTGGGATCTTGGGCACGCATGCACATGCGCCTGGGGTGAGTTCTAAGCCACTAGGCCCAGGACGCGAACCACGGTTGACTACGTGGGAGTCCAGTGACATAGCCATTACGCTAACAGCTGGTTCCCTTGGATTTTTTTTTAAAGAATTATTTAATTTAACTTTATTTATCCATTTATTTATTTATTTTAATTTGACTAGAGAGAGATGGAATGAGAGAGAGAGAGAGAGAGAGAGAGAGAGAGAGAGAAAGTGAGAAAGGAAGCCACCAGGTCCAGGACTCAAACTGTGGTCAGCCTTGTGGGAGTCCAGTGCCCTTAACCACCATGCCACCTGCCTGCCCCAGATGTTATTTATTAACATTTTGTTTGTGTAATTTTCGACTGGCTAATCTATTAGCATGGTTCAGAAATAAAGTATAAAAATTAAACAGTATAAATTCTTAACCTCACTTTTGTCTTTCTTTTGTTCAGCTACCAAGTACCCCATTTACCAGTAGGGTTACCACTGTTTTTGTCCTTATTGTCTTTCAGACAATATTTGTATGTGCATGCATGTGTTTGCGTATGTGAATGTGTTAATGTATGCACATATATTCACTCACAGCAAAGAGATTTGGTTTTCCGTTATCGTTTCTGGTACTAATATTACATTTTATTAATGTACATGTGTGCATCATTCTTAATCCATTTGTGGTCTATATAGCCTGGAGATATTTTTAAACATTACATCATCATATTATTGGATCCAGTCCTTTTACTTTTATAGCAGAGTTGCATTAATGTGGTTTGATTGTTTTATAGAAAGATTCATTTTCTGGAAATTGCCTAGTTAAATATTTCACTGCTGGTAATTTGATTTTCTAGTTGTGGCGAAAGATTCTGTGATTTATTCTTTTACCAGCCAAATGAATCTGGGATTGGAATGTAAGAACCTGATAGGAAATAACACTGATGGTTTTTTTTTTTGGAGAGATTTTCCCTGTAGGGCGCGTGTGCTCGCCAGACAGACAGAGGCGGACCT